ATGTTTCAAGTTATGATAACAAATTTTTATCAAGCTGACAAATAAAAACTAAGAATACTGCATTTATCTGGATTCTTTTTTAGTTTCAAATGTCACATAATCATTTCAGTTAGTTTGATTTTTACCCTCACAAGTCTAGATTTATATTTTGATTTTAGTTAACAAAAATGTTTATCTCTTTTTATTTTTAGGTTTAGTTTTGTTTAAGTATAATATTGATAATAGCAATATTACCAACCTTCTGGTCTACATGTCCACATTACCTTTTATTTTACATAAAACAATAAAAATGTATCACCCCCTCTGACTTTTTAATGCTGCCTCTGCAAACAGTCTAAAAGCACACAAAACCTGGCAATTAGTTTTTTCAAAATAAAGTACATTTTCTTTTGCCAACTTTTTATCAAAGTTAAATTAAAGTTAGATTTCCATACAGTTAGCGTGAGGCCTGTAAAACTGTAAAATCATAAGCTAATGTTGACAACAAGATGTTTTCAGAAAAATTCAATATAGGTTCCATTCGCCTGCTCTCTGTGTTACCTCATTGTATTTTGTTTTTATATCAGCCAAATGTTTTTTGGGTAGATTTATGTCTGATTTATAAAAGTTATACAAAAACAGCTCCCACAAGTCTCACCAACAAGTCTAGGTAATATATTATAACTTAAAGTCACTTAAGACCTTAAACAACCTTTTAGATATGTCTGATAAGTGTTTAGTTTGGTTAAAATTCAGGTCTGTTTTCCCCTCCTGCCATCATTCAACTATTCTAACCTTCCACTACAGCTCCACTCTTGTCACTTGCTGGCACTCTTCTGTTTCAGTATAAATTAGTGAGACTCTCGGTGGAATTTTTCATTGCTAGGCGTAGAGCAAAGGACATTCCGTTCACCAGGGTTGCAGACAGAAATCTCAGTGGCACATATCAGAAAATTCTAACCTGAAAGTTCACGGCTAGAGACTGCCAGGAGTACGTGCGAAAATATAATTTTGCATAATTTGGCCTTATTCACCCAGCATGCACCTCTCTGGCAAGGTGAAGGTTGTTATGAGACCCGCTGTGATTTCACTCATACAAATCTCTCCGCTGCGAGAACACTGGGTGTTGTTTTTGAATATATCTGATGTAAAAAAATACATCAGATATATTCATCAGAAACGTTTCTCCCACAAAACGCTACGTCCAGATGAACAGAATCAACTTTTGGAGATAAAAAGTACTTAATTGAACCTTGAATTAAGAGTCTTAAAAAATTACAAAAACACTTTTCTACGAACACCAGCTAAAGCTCTGACAGCTTCAACCTTAGTGTGTGTTCTAATATAAAGATGAGGGGTTAACATTTCAATCTTTTTTGACCTGGAGGTCATCAAAAGTTTCACTTACCATTACCTCACATGACTATGACATTTTCCCTTATTCCCTCAGCATGACGTAGGATTTATATACCTTATATACTGTTACTGCATGTTATATATGTCTGACACTGTCTGTATTCCTTTGTTGTTTTTTGAATAATATGAAAATATGTGACCTCTACAGCCGCGAAATGTCAGTGTGGTATGTGAGTTGTGTACTTGTGTGGGTGGGTGGTAGACGTGGGGGCAGCTGGGTGTGTCAGGGCCTGATATGAGGTCTGTGTGACGGGTGTTAATGGTGGGAAGTGGATGATAAGACGTAGCGATGACCTCTCCGCGGTGCCAGGAAATGATGTTTTACAGCTTCCTCCTTCTCTATCTGCCGCAGGAGGCAACTGTAATGAATTGTAATGTTAGAAATCTCACTCTGCCACATTACGCCACAACCAACGGCTCGTTTTCTTTCTTATTTTTTTTTCGAGTACAACTGGGGATGATATATTTATGATTATTTTTTGCATAAATGATCACATAAGTGCTAAAATTTCGGTTTTGGGATTTTTTTCTCTTAATAAATAAAACCAGGTGATTTTGAAGATACCTGCCTTGAAAGTTCACTATCACAACATTTAAGCAATCAGGAGCTTCCCATTAAAAATATAACAGTGGACATTAAAAGAAAAGGAAAAACTAGCTTTTAAGTCCTTTTTCATTTGTTGACACAGGAAGGGGAGTGTCAGATCAAACATAGGTGACTAACATTACGCCACAGTTGTATCATCTTGTTTGCATATTCAAACTTATATGCAAGCGTGTGGACTGCTGGAAAAGGAGCTCCCTTCTCCTCTAACGCGGGTTCAGACAATAGCAGACACAAAGGGGAATAAATTCACATCAACCTAAATTAAAAGAAGTTAGAAACAAACAGAAAGGACTGAGTGGAAAGGCAGACAAAGATTTACAGTCCAGCCTCAGACGGGTTCTTAAAAGAGAGGGGTAGATCCACAGCAGGTGCCAGCTCACCTCGACCTGTTGTGATCGGTCGCCGTGTTGAACACTGGCACCGTCTACTCACCTCGTGACCTTCTACCGCACCGCCGCAGTGTGTTGTCCATCACTGACTGTGTGCGTACACAGATATATACGTCAGTCTGTCAGTTTTTACTGGCTCTCTCTCCTCTCTCAGCCCGTGTATTCAGAAGCACAGTCCTCTGTATTCTGACTGGTTAGTCTGCCTGTTCCATACAGACTGCTTGCTTCTATGTGAATGGAGTCAGATTCGCACTCGTCCTGGTCCTTGGGGGAACTTTTGGAGTGGATCTTTCCAATCTCCTCCAGGGCACTGGCTAGAGAGTCAAGGTCAGAAGTGTCCTGGTGACGAGCCTCCCACAGGCTTAGTATGACTGCAGACGGACTCCGCTGCTTTGCAAAATACCCCAGGTTTCTGTAGAGGAGCACATACAGGAACATGAAAGTAACTGTTTCTTTACAGATGCCACATGCAACGAACTTGCAAAAGAAAACAAATGTTTTAATGACTTTATCAGGTGGTCTTAAAGTTTAAATGTAAATGTGTAAATCTGCTAGTCCATCACTCGTGGTAGTTTGCCTGCTTCCTATGTGCACACATGCTACAGGAGTCCTTACACAATATGACTTTTCATTGTACAACCAGTTAACCAGAATCTACATATAAAACTGTATGCTTGTCACTGTGTGCCTATTGGTTAGTCGCTAGTAACAGTCACCTACATAACACTGTAAGATATTTAAGGCCCCATCAACTGTCAATCAAAATACTTGTTAGTAACACTTCATGTTACTAACAAGTATTTTGCCTGATTGCGCAACAAATCATTGAATTTCACTGACATTCCTCTGTCGTTACATCATTGCTGCTCTCCTTTTTGTGCACACCCCGCCTAACTTTAAAATCATGGAAAATGATCATTTTGTTCTGAAGAAGCACTTACTCAGGTTCAGCTAGCTGATGCATGCCCACAGTAGAGGTTCACGTCAGCTCTTTTTTTAAGCCTACTGTATCCACACACATGAATTAGCACAACATTTCTTGAATGCTATGATGGAATCAGCAGAGATGCTAATCATGTCGCGATGATGGATTGGACTGTTACGGAGGCTATAATCTTGCCAAGACCCCAGTCACATAGACCTAGTGACTGATTGGTGACTGCCTGGCAACCTGGTTGCTAGGGGGGAAATGTATTTCCTTAAAAGCTGCAAGTAGCTGCTGTGCAGGAATCATGCAGGAATAAAGACAAGTTAGTGTCCCCCTAGTAACCAGCTAGGGAAAAATTTGTGTTCTTTAACTGGCTGGCAACCAATTGGGAAATACCGGGTGCTTTCAGTATATGGAAGCAGTATATGTAAGAGGAATAAAGAAGAGGCATATGGTGCTGCAGCAAAAGTTGGTACAGAACATCCCAATTGTCTGTTAACATTCAGCAACTACTTGTGGTTGTGAAACTGTGAATAGTGTGATGCAAATAACAAACTGAGACCATTTGCCTTCAAAGCAAATTATCTGGTTTCAGCAGTGAGGAATAACTTTAACCAGCAAGCTCCAAAAACCACTCACCAACATGTGCAGAGGATGCCTAACTTGCATGGAAAAACATTTTTGATCATTTGAAGCAGTTTCTAATTTATCAGACTTGATTGATGAGCCTTTAAATGCAGTCTTTTGGTCTTGTGACCATAAAAATTAATGCTGAGGCTTTTTCCCTGTTCCCTATCATACACTTAAAATAACTAGCTTCTTGAAGAGTTTAGTCCAGACTGGCAGGGCTATAGCAGTGCCACTGACATTAAAGTGATCCGTTTTTGTGTAAAGTGTTTGCTGCCCTTAAAGAACGAGAAGAAAGACGTCTGTTTCAAGCAACGTTTAGAACTGTGTCTCTGTCTGCCTCCCCCTCATCACTGCAGGCTTGTTTTGGACAGTAAAGGTTAGCAGCTAACGAGCGAGAATAGAGTGAAGGCACAGCAGCATTTTGAACTTTAAAGAGCCTTAAAAAAGTTAGAAATGAACTCTGTAAGAAAGATCTTCTGTATCTACTGTTCCGGCTTCATGTCGTTTACCAGCTATTGAGAACATGAAACTGGAAATTTCAAAGCAACGTGACATGTATTTCAAATACAACCAGATAATTTGCTTTGAAGGCAAATGGTCTCAGTTTGTTATTTGCATCACACTATTCACAGTTTCACAACCACAAGTAGTTGCTGAATGTTAACAGACAATTGGGATGTTCTGTACCAACTTTTGCTGCAGCACCATATGCCTCTTCTTTATTCCTCTTACATATACTGCTTCCATATACTACAATGTAGCTTGCTATCGCCAGTGTGTGAATGTGTGTGTGAATGGGTGGATGACTGAATGTAGTGTAAAGCGCTTTGGGGTCCTATGGACTAGAAAAGCGCTATACAAATGCAGGCCATTTATTTTTTTTTCAAATCATATTTTATTTCACAATGAAATCTGTTTCTAGAAGGGCACACCTGGGCATTGTGCGCGTGACTTCAGTGAGGTCTTAAACAGTCTTCAACTAAACTCCGCTTACTGTTTTTTGCGATTTTGTGGGAAATCACAAGTCAGCTGGCTGCTATTAATTAGAAATCTCAGTGGCACATATCAGAAAATTCTAACCTGAAAGTTCACGGCTAGAGACTGCCAGGAGTACGTGCGAAAATATAATTTTGCATAATTTGGCCTTATTCACCCAGCATGCACCTCTCTGGCAAGGTGAAGGTTGTTATGAGACCCGCTGTGATTTCACTCATACAAATCTCTCCGCTGCGAGAACACTGGGTGTTGTTTTTGAATATATCTGATGTAAAAAAATACATCAGATATATTCATCAGAAACGTTTCTCCCACAAAACGCTACGTCCAGATGAACAGAATCAACTTTTGGAGATAAAAAGTACTTAATTGAACCTTGAATTAAGAGTCTTAAAAAATTACAAAAACACTTTTCTACGAACACCAGCTAAAGCTCTGACAGCTTCAACCTTAGTGTGTGTTCTAATATAAAGATGAGGGGTTAACATTTCAATCTTTTTTGACCTGGAGGTCATCAAAAGTTTCACTTACCATTACCTCACATGACTATGACATTTTCCCTTATTCCCTCAGCATGACGTAGGATTTATATACCTTATATACTGTTACTGCATGTTATATATGTCTGACACTGTCTGTATTCCTTTGTTGTTTTTTGAATAATATGAAAATATGTGACCTCTACAGCCGCGAAATGTCAGTGTGGTATGTGAGTTGTGTACTTGTGTGGGTGGGTGGTAGACGTGGGGGCAGCTGGGTGTGTCAGGGCCTGATATGAGGTCTGTGTGACGGGTGTTAATGGTGGGAAGTGGATGATAAGACGTAGCGATGACCTCTCCGCGGTGCCAGGAAATGATGTTTTACAGCTTCCTCCTTCTCTATCTGCCGCAGGAGGCAACTGTAATGAATTGTAATGTTAGAAATCTCACTCTGCCACATTACGCCACAACCAACGGCTCGTTTTCTTTCTTATTTTTTTTTCGAGTACAACTGGGGATGATATATTTATGATTATTTTTTGCATAAATGATCACATAAGTGCTAAAATTTCGGTTTTGGGATTTTTTTCTCTTAATAAATAAAACCAGGTGATTTTGAAGATACCTGCCTTGAAAGTTCACTATCACAACATTTAAGCAATCAGGAGCTTCCCATTAAAAATATAACAGTGGACATTAAAAGAAAAGGAAAAACTAGCTTTTAAGTCCTTTTTCATTTGTTGACACAGGAAGGGGAGTGTCAGATCAAACATAGGTGACTAACATTACGCCACAGTTGTATCATCTTGTTTGCATATTCAAACTTATATGCAAGCGTGTGGACTGCTGGAAAAGGAGCTCCCTTCTCCTCTAACGCGGGTTCAGACAATAGCAGACACAAAGGGGAATAAATTCACATCAACCTAAATTAAAAGAAGTTAGAAACAAACAGAAAGGACTGAGTGGAAAGGCAGACAAAGATTTACAGTCCAGCCTCAGACGGGTTCTTAAAAGAGAGGGGTAGATCCACAGCAGGTGCCAGCTCACCTCGACCTGTTGTGATCGGTCGCCGTGTTGAACACTGGCACCGTCTACTCACCTCGTGACCTTCTACCGCACCGCCGCAGTGTGTTGTCCATCACTGACTGTGTGCGTACACAGATATATACGTCAGTCTGTCAGTTTTTACTGGCTCTCTCTCCTCTCTCAGCCCGTGTATTCAGAAGCACAGTCCTCTGTATTCTGACTGGTTAGTCTGCCTGTTCCATACAGACTGCTTGCTTCTATGTGAATGGAGTCAGATTCGCACTCGTCCTGGTCCTTGGGGGAACTTTTGGAGTGGATCTTTCCAATCTCCTCCAGGGCACTGGCTAGAGAGTCAAGGTCAGAAGTGTCCTGGTGACGAGCCTCCCACAGGCTTAGTATGACTGCAGACGGACTCCGCTGCTTTGCAAAATACCCCAGGTTTCTGTAGAGGAGCACATACAGGAACATGAAAGTAACTGTTTCTTTACAGATGCCACATGCAACGAACTTGCAAAAGAAAACAAATGTTTTAATGACTTTATCAGGTGGTCTTAAAGTTTAAATGTAAATGTGTAAATCTGCTAGTCCATCACTCGTGGTAGTTTGCCTGCTTCCTATGTGCACACATGCTACAGGAGTCCTTACACAATATGACTTTTCATTGTACAACCAGTTAACCAGAATCTACATATAAAACTGTATGCTTGTCACTGTGTGCCTATTGGTTAGTCGCTAGTAACAGTCACCTACATAACACTGTAAGATATTTAAGGCCCCATCAACTGTCAATCAAAATACTTGTTAGTAACACTTCATGTTACTAACAAGTATTTTGCCTGATTGCGCAACAAATCATTGAATTTCACTGACATTCCTCTGTCGTTACATCATTGCTGCTCTCCTTTTTGTGCACACCCCGCCTAACTTTAAAATCATGGAAAATGATCATTTTGTTCTGATGAAGCACTTACTCAGGTTCAGCTAGCTGATGCATGCCCACAGTAGAGGTTCACGTCAGCTCTTTTTTTAAGCCTACTGTATCCACACACATGAATTAGCACAACATTTCTTGAATGCTATGATGGAATCAGCAGAGATGCTAATCATGTCGCGATGATGGATTGGACTGTTACGGAGGCTATAATCTTGCCAAGACCCCAGTCACATAGACCTAGTGACTGATTGGTGACTGCCTGGCAACCTGGTTGCTAGGGGGGAAATGTATTTCCTTAAAAGCTGCAAGTAGCTGCTGTGCAGGAATCATGCAGGAATAAAGACAAGTTAGTGTCCCCCTAGTAACCAGCTAGGGAAAAATTTGTGTTCTTTAACTGGCTGGCAACCAATTGGGAAATACCGGGTGCTTTCAGTATATGGAAGCAGTATATGTAAGAGGAATAAAGAAGAGGCATATGGTGCTGCAGCAAAAGTTGGTACAGAACATCCCAATTGTCTGTTAACATTCAGCAACTACTTGTGGTTGTGAAACTGTGAATAGTGTGATGCAAATAACAAACTGAGACCATTTGCCTTCAAAGCAAATTATCTGGTTTCAGCAGTGAGGAATAACTTTAACCAGCAAGCTCCAAAAACCACTCACCAACATGTGCAGAGGATGCCTAACTTGCATGGAAAAACATTTTTGATCATTTGAAGCAGTTTCTAATTTATCAGACTTGATTGATGAGCCTTTAAATGCAGTCTTTTGGTCTTGTGACCATAAAAATTAATGCTGAGGCTTTTTCCCTGTTCCCTATCATACACTTAAAATAACTAGCTTCTTGAAGAGTTTAGTCCAGACTGGCAGGGCTATAGCAGTGCCACTGACATTAAAGTGATCCGTTTTTGTGTAAAGTGTTTGCTGCCCTTAAAGAACGAGAAGAAAGACGTCTGTTTCAAGCAACGTTTAGAACTGTGTCTCTGTCTGCCTCCCCCTCATCACTGCAGGCTTGTTTTGGACAGTAAAGGTTAGCAGCTAACGAGCGAGAATAGAGTGAAGGCACAGCAGCATTTTGAACTTTAAAGAGCCTTAAAAAAGTTAGAAATGAACTCTGTAAGAAAGATCTTCTGTATCTACTGTTCCGGCTTCATGTCGTTTACCAGCTATTGAGAACATGAAACTGGAAATTTCAAAGCAACGTGACATGTATTTCAAATACAACCAGATAATTTGCTTTGAAGGCAAATGGTCTCAGTTTGTTATTTGCATCACACTATTCACAGTTTCACAACCACAAGTAGTTGCTGAATGTTAACAGACAATTGGGATGTTCTGTACCAACTTTTGCTGTAGCACCATATGCCTCTTCTTTATTCCTCTTACATATACTGCTTCCATATACTACAATGTAGCTTGCTATCGCCAGTGTGTGAATGTGTGTGTGAATGGGTGGATGACTGAATGTAGTGTAAAGCGCTTTGGGGTCCTATGGACTAGAAAAGCGCTATACAAATGCAGGCCATTTATTTTTTTTTCAAATCATATTTTATTTCACAATGAAATCTGTTTCTAGAAGGGCACACCTGGGCATTGTGCGCGTGACTTCAGTGAGGTCTTAAACAGTCTTCAACTAAACTCCGCTTACTGTTTTTTGCGATTTTGTGGGAAATCACAAGTCAGCTGGCTGCTATTAATTTTAAAGTGACTGCTAT